TGCTTTCTAGTAGTAGTTAGTAGCGAGTGCCTAAAAGTAGGCCTTATTGCAATCCACCCACTAATAGACGCAACTTTTTTTCCGGAAAGCATTCGACTTCAGCGTGTTTTATGCCACTTTAGGCAAATTTGCTACACATTTTCGTAAAAATAACTAATTAGAAATCAGATATTACCTACAGTTAGTATTTTACACCTTCATTTTACGCGATTCAGCTAAAGTTCAGTTGCTTTTAGAAAACGCTTAATTATTAAATAGGAGCTTTTAGTTGCTTTGCAAAACGAAATGAAGTGATTTTAAAATATTTGCCGTAACAATGCTCGTTTATATAGTCAAATCGATCAGCTTATGTGTAAAAATAAAGTATAAAAAATTGATGCTTTATATGTAAGTACAGTCGCGGGCCATGAATCGGAGTAGTTTTGCAAAAGAGTTTCTTTTAAAGAATTCAAAAGCGAATACTCAGGCCATAATCGCTTAAAAGCCCTTGCTGAGCTTTTTTTTTCGCGTGGTAGCGTTTTTGTGAAACTAAAAATGAACGAGTGATACCAAAATCTAATAAAATTTTCGATTCGATTGGCTCCAACGACTGCACAGTTTATTACTCATACTTCATCTTTCATTCTCCACTGGGGAATTCTTTATTTTAGCACGGACAGACAGCAGAGTCTGCCACTCAATTCCATAATTGTTTTTTGCTTATGATTTCTATGTTTGTATGTATGTATTTTTGTATGTAAATATTTAAGCTAGTTCTTAAGCTAAACGCTTTTTTTCGGCAATCATATAGTATTTTCTAGTCGACTTCCAATGCCAGCTTCGTCGTCTCCTGCTCATCGACGCCCCACTTCAGTGGCGTAAGTCGCTGGCGTCTTGGCTTTTGCTGTCATAAATATTTGCGTAGATATTTTTTTGCTAGACATCACACATTTGTTCTGCACACATTTTTGAGAGAAAAAAGAAGAGCAGAATGGAAGAAACAATAGTACAAAAAAACAGGCGTATAAGTATGTATTTTAAAGTTATAACTGTAAGTATTTTGGAAGCGAACGAACAAACGGGCGGAAAACCGTTGCGAGTATTTTTGAAAAAGCGGGTTAAGTATTATGGTAGGTACTGTATGGTGAGTAGAAATTCATATAACCCTTTAAATTAGATATACATATTTATAAGAGCTTTTAAAAAGCGTAGATACAGCTGTAAAATATTTAAAAACTATGCAAAAATTTATTGATTAATTGAAAATGATAGTCATGCAGAAAAAGTTTTTTTTTTTGTGGGTTGGCAAGAGTGTGTTAAATGCAAAACCAAAAAAAATAAAAAAATAAAAATTAAGCTGCTGGCGAGCCACTATCTACATAGCGCCATCTGTTTGACAGCTCTTTCTTAGTACACGTGTGCTTTGGGATGATCATAACTACTGTCAGAGCTTACGCGATTAATCTAGCACTGCTCTATGTGGCTTTCACGTGCACAAAGTGTCTCGTATGCTAATCATGCTTTAATATTTCTGCTTACAGCTGTTTAGAAAGAAAAACTTGGATAAAGCTTTTTAAAACAAGTTTGCAAACCAGAGCTCACCTCGAGTGCTTTCTCAATCTTAAAGTGAAAATTTCGGGTCAAAAAAATTTTTATTCATTTTTCTAAAGGAAATTCGTTTCCTAGTTTTCAAACCTAAATATATAGTTCGAAAAGTTAAAGCCCCCTAGAGCTTTAGACAGCGTCAAGTTTTCTGCTCTGTTTATAAAGGAAATATTTTTCATTTTGCATTTTATTTGAAATCATTTATCAAAATTTGGTGTGGAGATGTCCATCAGAAGCATTTCTTGTTATCTTTCGATGCCTATAGATCCAAGGTCGACTAGTTTCAGCAAAGCGCATCGCTTATGCAAATTAGTAGCTTTACGGTTACTGGCGTATCGAAATTAATTCGAATTTAGTGTTAATGTGTAAGTGATAAACTATATATCTCTTCGTATTTTATTCAATATTTACAATACAGTTTAAAAAACTATAAAAACTTAAATAAAATTATATTTTTAAAATAAAACTTAACTAATTAAAACAATATTTAACGCTAGATTGAGTACAGGCTTCCTTCTTTAGCTACATTCACGATTATAAGTCTCAAATTTCGGATTTAAATTATATTTTTAACGACTTTTACAAAATAAAATTTTTACAAATTCACGCAGACTTTTTTATGTACAAAATAACCGGTGAAATTTAGCACGATTGTTCAAAAAAAGTTTATGCATTTTCATAAATCTAAATATTTTTGTGAAATATGAAATATGGCTTTCTGAAATAAGATAACAGTATACATATTTATTTGAAATTTACAGAGTCTAATAAACGCTAAGAAAAAATTACAAAAAGTTGATAAATTTTTTCTTAAGATTCTTATGATGTTTAAGTGCAGGATTTTGGGTGCTAAACTACATTCTAATAAGTAAATATATATAAACATTATGCTAATTGGTGTTAAGGCTGGTGGGGACGCAGGCGGGGTGAAAGGCTTGCAATTAGTAATAGCATTTGAGGCGTTCAAGCGTTTGGCCAAAAAGCAAAAAAACTCCTTAAAAGCTATTAAATATTTGAATTATTTTACTACTAAATATTTCATAGTTGCAGATGCACATTTCATGGATACAGAAGTGAGAGAGGTGTTGGTTGTGGTGGTGGTATTGGAGGGGGCGTAAGGCTTAAGGCGGTACTACTACTGCTCTGACAACTCAAATACAACTGACTCGGGTGGTACGGATGACGCTGGCGGTACTCTTAGTACCTTTTGGCCGCCAAAGCACAGCGTCAAGAGCCAACTGCCGCCACCGCCGCTGCTGGTACCCCCGCCGCCCCCGTTGTTGCTCTGCCGACGCGCTATATGTGCGGCAACGTTGTTGTTGTGATTACTAACACGTCGCTGCTGGTGGCGGTAGGTGCTGCCGCTGGAGAGGCGGCGCGCGGGTATGTGCGTGCCGGTGGCGGCCGCGCTATATCTGCGGCCATTCATGCGGCGTGTGGTGGGCGAGTGATCGTTTCTGTGTGCGAAAGAGAGCAGAGATCGAGAGCGAGAGTAAGTGATGGCTTGTGAGAACGCTGGAGAGAGTGAGTGCTTCAATCGGGATCTTAGCTTACCTTTTGCCATCCTGTGGCGTGCCACCGGCCTGGCCTTCGGTGTCGGGTGCAGTGTTATAGGCGCCGGAGAACATTGAGGCACGTTTTGGCGCCCATTCGGGGTGACCGCGTACGGACATGTAGACGGCGAGGCTTTTCAGTAGAACGGTGCGAACCTGGTGGAGCAGAAAGAGCACGGAAAATGGTAAAAAAGATATCTGGTAAGTAGCGCCGGAGCAACGCCATTTCTTTGCATACTCACCTCACCATTTAGGAAACAGTAGATCAAGGCAATGAAAAATCCCTGAAATGAGGTTAGAAAATGCGTCCCATATGACCAAATGGCGAATTTCCATGGCGGCTTCAAGTTCAGTGCAGGTACTTGGTACAGTAAATTGGTGATACCCAGCAAGGGCAGCAGCACAATGGCTGCACGCACCGCCTTGCGCGTCTGCTCGATATCGCTGGCTTGACTCTGGCGCAATTTCATCACCAGGACGCGTATGATGTTCATCAGGAAGAAGAAGTTCAGCTGGATGTGAAAACAGAAAGCAGATAATAAAATAGAGAAATAGATATATAATCGAGAGCCAGTGGATGAATATCCCCTACCAGTATAACAATGAAACGCGGTCCCTCGAGTATCCAGTAGTAAGGCGTCAAATTGTAGTTCCATAGGCAGTCCTGTGCGCTGTCCGTATACAAGGCCGTACATATCGCCCAGACGGTGGTCATCAGCACGGGCAGGCCCCAGCCGAGTAACGAGAAGATTGTGTGCGGAAAGCGGCCCTGAAACACCGCGACCGTCACCATATTGTGCAGGTACAGACCCTCGATGAACATCCACATGAACATGGCGGTGCGAGCATACTCGAGCAGCACGTAGGAGGCCTCGCAGAGGTAGGGCTGTGGAGTGGAAGGGTAGCGAGTGAGAATAATCAGTTAATATTAGGTGCTATTTGAAAAAATCCCTCAGACTAAAAGCTCGAAGCTTACTCTAAAGCTCGTTTATGAAGCATTGCACAAAATTTGAGACATTTTGAGTAAATTTATTGCCAAAAAATATAGTTACTGTTAAAAAAGTTACATCCATCTGAAAGCTAATATGCAAAACGCAGTCAAAAATTTTCACTTGGATTTTTTAGAGCTTTCTGATGCAAAAAAATAAAACCGTAATTAATTTTATACAACCCTTCTTCGAAGCTTTTTCCTTTTGACCATTTCCAGGATACTTAGTCTAAACTTTGTTAAAGCTCTCTGAGCTTCTCAAGCTTTGTTGAGCTCTTCATCCTACATATCTTTAAACCTAAATTTTTAGTATGAATTTCCAAATCACTTACCGTATTCTCAATACCCGCTGTACTCGTATTCGCCGTCGACGATTGACTGCCACGCCGAAACGCCTGATCGAGATACAGCGTCAGTCGTATGATCACTTGGCAAACCATAGCAATGAAGAGATTTTTGTGAATTTTTGTGCGATTGTTGCGTAGCGAGGAGAAATTGCAAAAAATAATTAAGGAGATAATCAAAGCGACCAGCGACAGGATTAGGCCGACGATCTCAAGGGTGCGCGTGCGGTGAGCGATGTCTAAGTAGACCTAAAGGAGATTTTAGGAGTTACACAGATAGCGGATTAAAATTCTAAGCTTAGCTAGAATGCAACTTACATCGATATTCTCCACTCGCTGCAGCATATCATTAACTTCTGGCTTAAAGCAAGGCTGATAGTCCGTCCAGCCGTTGGAGCTATTCTGTGCGTCGTTGGGACGACGTCCCCAGTGGCCATCCAGCTCACATTTTCGATTGGCGAACTCTGCGTGTTGGAGAGAGGAAGAGAGTAGAGCAAGAGAAAAGGATTATTGAGCATTTCAACTTTCATCTCAGAAGGTCAACTTTAGTGGCTGACTGCATATTTTAAATTTAATATTATGACAGGTATTTCGCCATCGGCCTAAAATTGCGTGAATTAAATTGTGCAACAATTTAACGCAACCGTTTAACATTTCCCATGACAGGCATTTAACCGCCCCTCACCCACTCGCACTGAAACCTCATTTACACGCTCATTTAACGCCTTTCGAGCAGACAGACAATACAAAAATTTTAAATTTAAAACTCAAAAGGATTAAAAATAGACCGCAGACCTTCGGCCACAATTGCAATTAAGTTAAAATGCCCACACATTTGCGTTGCGTTGCCAACAGAAAACAAAAACAGAAAAAAAAATAATCAGACGAAATTACGCACATCCTTGCAATTTAGTGGCGCGAGACGCAGCGTGCGCGAATGGCGCAACAATAAAAGAGCAAAGTGAGCGGCGAGGGGGGGGGATGGCATTTGATGCACGGCATTTCCTATTTGTTGTTTGTTGTTTAGCGGTGACGCGAGCGGTGGCGGAGGCGGAGGCGGAGGCAAAGGCGGAGACGGCAAACTCATAATGAGTTGAAAACGTAAATAGGAAATGGAAAATTCATTTAAATGCATTTTTCTTTGGCTCAATACACACGCACACACAGCGTTGTATCATACAAATGTGTATGGAAGTATGGCTGTAAGGCGTTTTTATTGCTTTTGCTATTGTTGTTGGTTGTGATGGCGGTTTTATGTAGACTACTGGCGGCGGGAGCAGCAGTACAAGTGCTGTTGGTAGTAGAATTATATAGTAAACACACGAAATTTCTCTTCTTATGATTGCCTATATACTTATACATATATACATACGCACGAACATACACACATATTTTGTTATATAAATCGCTCAGTGCAAAGATTTCTTGCACATGTTAATGCACGCATAGCTACCATAAAGTTACTCGTAGTATGACGACCTTCTTCGTATCTTGATTTTCAAGACGTTTGCCAGTTTTGTTTTTGCAACGTTAAGTGGCACGAATGGCACGTTGGAAATTTGTTGAAAATCTCAAAAAATTCTTGTTTGAAAATTATTAGGTTGTAGGTAAACGCATACATGTGTATGTATGTCTGTATGTACGCATGTAGTAGCAAGAGAGAAGTAAGCGCTGAGATGCTGAGGGCGTCAGGGCAGCTAGTCGAACGTAATGTGGAAGAAGATATATTAAAAAATTCTTCTTATTTTATAAAACATCATTTTTAGCAAATTGTAATTGGAATAGTTCGTAAATTAGCGCAACAGAAAATTACATAAGGAAATCGCGTACTTTAAGCAATGGCTCTGAAATGAATTTTAATCTTATTTTTGGATATTAACATTTTTCCACATTTGTGTCGAATATGTTGAGAAATATTTTAATAGCAGAATTCTAAAACAAGAAATATTTCTTTGCCAAAGTTATTATTAGAATACTTAAGCAATAGCAATCTAAAAGTGTAGGTAAAGCGCCTGCAGATAGGCTCCAACTTTTTATATTTCTCTAACATGCCGTTTCTTCTGGCTTGGCTTTAATGTTTATTATTTTTTTTTACGAAAGTATAGCGTAATCTTACAAAAACCATGAAAGTCCGAATTTCAAACTTTGTAAAAAAAACTAGGTATATTCGGACAAAGCTTCATCAAAATTTTAAGCGTTTAAAAGTCATCAACGGTATTTTGTAGCCACTTACACCTTGCACTTTATTAAAATGGCATATAAAACTGCATACCAAGATTTTATTTTATTTTTTTCAATTCTGAGTCAAAAGTTTGAAATTTTGATTAGCATTTGGTAAAATTCGCCGAATTTTTATAAATCTTGTACAAATTTTAAAATTTTGACTTAGATGGTAATTGAACTTAAGAAAAATGGTCAAAACTTGTTAAAATGTCGCGTCCTTAGTTACATTTTCGCCGCCGTACAAATGTAAATACATGGCAAGGAGCCACATTTTGCCAAAAAATGTATGAATGGTAATCAACTGATTGGTTTTGATATTCAAGTAAAGCCCATTCTCCTGGCCTTGCCATTTTTCAATTAAATTGAATGCCGATTTTTAACAACGAATTTAACGGTTAACATAACACTGACTCCAATACCAATCACGTTGAAGTATGCGATCAAATCTGGCTGTTATATGGCCATCTAATTTTGTATGCTGACTGTTTGCCACAAAAACCATGCCATGCGGAAGACGAAGTACCAAAGACTAGTAAAGAAATTGTGTTTGGTATTCGTCAATCCACACAGGTTATTGCAATTGAACTCGGATTTCCAGCAGCAGCTAATTGAATATCGCAAAAGTCCTCAGCAAATGAGAAAACCACTAATTTAACTGAAGTCTAACAAACGACGCTTGACTTTCTAACTAAATTAATCCAATACAAACACACACTCAATCGCAGCATAAATTGTTCATTGTTTACTTACTTGTTGTGTCAATGCCATGTCCGACTGGTGGACAATGCATGCGCGCTAGTACGCCAGCCGGTGTTGGTGGCCAGCAGAGGAATTGATCCCATGTCCAATTGCAGAAGACGCCTGTGAAGTGGAGTAAAATGGGAGAGAAGTGGAAGGAAATGTTAATCAAAAATGATAGCAACGATTTGAAGTGCAAATGGATTTCGTACAAATTGGGGCGCTGAATGAGTGAAATTCGAAGGCAATTAAGTTTATTTAAATGTCAATTCATTGCATTTACATATAAAAAGTTTAATTATTTTCCAGAAACCTGCTGGTGTGTGTGTGTGTAAAAATGTACAATTCAGCAAAAATTTGATCTATGCCACTATTTTTTTTTTGTTCAGGTTTAATTGGCTTAATGCACCATAAGTTATGCTAACTATTAGTGTTTCTGCGTATTTGTTGTTTCAACTTTAATTTTGCTAACTTTTTCATGCAGCAAATTCATTTTCTTTTTTGTATAGAAATTTTATAAGCAGCGTAAATTAGTTGGAAATATGCCCACATGCACGCACAAATACAAACTTATATACTTATACATACGTATGTATGTGGGTATATCCATGCATTATAAATCTAGGTACATATGTACATACAGTATTGGCCAGTACAATAGCTCCCCCATTTCAAAGTGCTATTGTTTCCCACTCATGTTTATTTATTTATTTTTAGGAATTTCCCATTAAAATACGGTTAGCTCTCTAACAAAGCCCATACAAACCCAAGTTTAAAACTTTGTAGAAAACTACGAAAAAAATCAACGAATTTTCATTAAAATTTCAAACTTTTTTCTCAGAAAATCAACGGTTATTTTTAGCCACTTGAAATTTAAACATTGTTAGACTAAAACTAAATGGGCTATAAAACTGCGTACTCAAAAAAATTCTAACACTTTTGAGAAAAAAGTTTCAAAATTAGGTGAAATTTCTTTGATTTTTTTTGTAGTCTTTTAAAAATTAAATTTAAAAGTTTATATGGGTTTTGTTAGAGAATGAACTATATTTTAATTGAAATTTCTTAAAAATTAATATTTAAACATAAATGCCAAACAATATCACTTGGAAATGGGGGTTCTATAGATATGGCCAATACTGTATGTAGCTAAATACCTTACAATGAAAAATTATCAATTGATAAAAATAACCAACTTGCAGTTAGCGTTTTCGCTGGTTTTCGAGAAATACCTCACTTTTAATTAGCTATGACAAAATCAACTTATTTAAATATTCTCATACAAAAATTACTATAAATACACTTTTTTCTGCACTTCACAGTTGCGTTTTACGAATTCAGAACAAATAAAATAGATATCGAAATGTTCAGCCTCATTGCGAGAGTAGTGCCGAATGCAAGTCGTTTTTCGAGAGTCGAATCGTATCGAAAATTTCACGTCATTGTCTAAAATTTCCTCTTGTCTTGGTGTACTAAACCGGAAAACCTTGGCAGCACTGCATAGATTTCGACGATTTTCATCATTAACTTACTTCAGCACGACAGTAGACAATGCCAGTATTGTCGAGTCGTACAATTTAGCCAAATTTACGACTTACGCAGATTTAAGTTAAATTTAAGCTAAAATTACTTCGTGCAGGGTATATAACACACACACACACACACAAAAGGCATTTGTACATAATTCAAGGGCTTCGCTTCATTTATTTGGTTATTATGACATAGTTTAACCAACTAAGCCTCAGCCACATAAACTGTTAATCGCATTGTAATGCAATTCTAAGCAGATTATCGCATTACATCATTACTAAGTAGTTAAAATAAATAAATAATTCATGAACAAAATACACAACTACACTCATACATACATACTGAGCGTGAGCATTGCTGACTAACCGCATTTTGCGGACTGATTAAAACGATTAATGAAAAACAGCATGAAAATGAATGAATGAATGAAAAAAACGCTGATTTAAAAAATTTAGTTAAACTTATAAATTTTCCAAATTTTTTAAACCAACAATATTTATAGAATTTAGGATGTCACGACAAACAAGGAAAACGCTGCTGCAGCACTAGTTATATTTTTCCGGAAAATTCACTCACAACGTCACCACGCCACTCGAAGATCAAAAGCAAAGCAGATTGTTTTGTAACCACAGTTGAATCAAAAGACAGCATGGCGCAACTGCGCTACCTAATTGTCTGATACCGGCCATGGCGCTGGCTTCTTGGTATTAGCGCACGAAAATTTGCTGCATTACCCACCACCAATGGGGAAAAGTTCACCGTATACTCCCGACAGTAAATTTGCATAGCAATTTCGAAAAAACATCTACGACAATAATTTTTGTTTAAATAGTTCTACTGAAATAATTGAAATACTTCCTTAGTAAAAGTTTAAAATTTTTTGTTGACTTTAAATTTACTGACATTAGGGTGGAACGTTAGGGTGATAAGAACTGATTTCTGGTAGGTAAGTACTAGAACGGGGTACTTGAAGTCAATGAACTGTGGAACGATAAAAATTGCCTCCTAGAGACAAAAAAAACGCTATATAATACCTCAAGATCCGACTGAAAATGCTGTGAAGATATGAAAAAATTACAAAACTGTAAAAAGGAGATGGTTGCAAAAAAAATGTCGAAATAGCCTTGAAACAATACTTTAGATTCGAAGGTAACAGGTTAACTTAAATCAGACTTTGGTACGATTCGGCTCAGCCCTAGTCAACGGTTTAGGCAAACTAAGCTGTGGTGGATTAGCTTTAAAACTAGAGCTCTTGTCTTTCATCTAACACGTTAACCGAACAGAAAGTTGTTTTCAAAAATAGTCGACTTCACTTAATCGACTAATCGTTTTCTTTCGACTGTTGCTCACAAACAACTTGTGGACTAACCGTTTGTTTTCGAATTTTCTACTAGTGGTTTTCTTTCAGTTAACATAGTTGTTTATATTTTTCGAATATTTATGCATATTGACAAAACCCAACCGTTACTTGGATCTGTTTTATAAAAGGGGATATGAAGTAGTATATAGTGGTAGCAAGCTTTTGGATATACAAAAGTTAACCATTAAATTGGCAAGAAATAAAATTTTCTAATTGGACCATACATTTAGTCAGTGTGGCAATTTTTGTATACAACATTAACCGTACCAAAGTAGTCCTAAAGGAAAATGAGACAATTTCATACATATTTTGCCAACTTAACGCATGCATTCAATAACCATCTGGCTATTTTTTAATATTTGACGATTGAAACTTCAAACAACTTCCATAGCAAATCTGTCTTAGAGCTTCATAACTTCACTGCACTTGAAAGCCACTATAAAAGGATTCATTTTATATACTACATTTACACCTAAGACCTGCAACTAACTTCCATCTTGCTTCGGTAGCTATTATCCCACAAAATTCAGGACCCCTAGATAAACTCATACAATGAGCTAATAAATTTCAAATTCTCAATGTTTCACATTTGACATTTAACATGAATACATACAATACTCACCAGCTAATCTGCTTTGAATTTGTTTCGTTCCACCTTAAAATGATTTATTTGCACTTTTATGGATATGTATGTAAATACATAAGTGCCCTAATAGTTTCATAACAGCAAATGTTGCATCACAAAATGCATTGCACATTTGGCCATTGCCAGTGGATTTTATGCACACAGACATAAGTAAATATATTAAATTTGATAATTTGATTGAAATTTGTAGTCTTGTTGAGAGAAAGGGAGAGGAGAACAGCAAAAAGGAGCAAAGAGTCAACTAATGGGTAATAAATAGAATTCTGGAAATAAGTACATCTGTGTGTATGAGATTATTTAAATTTAAGCTATGGTCTATGCTTACGCTATTCGCAGTTTCCCCAAGGGACATTTGTCTTGACCACATCAATGGCCAAACTTCATAAATATCTATGTATTTATGTAGATCTATTTATGGTTTCTTTTCCTATTTGAACACCACGTATTATCATATCACATCAGCATAATCATTTCCTTGGTGTGTGGGGTTGCTTCGGACACATTTACATTTTCTGCTGCGAATTTCTCAGAGTTTTATCTCAAATGTTTTGGAATTGTGTGTGTGCGTTCTTGCAACACTGCCACGTATGTATGTATGTATGTATTGTTATGTATTCTAACAGTTTCCTACACGTCTACGTTGCTTGTCTTCTCCGTTGCTTTATACGCATGTTTGCTCTGTACTTTCATGTGATTTCATGCAACGCACATGCACGCATCCACACACCACATCCGCCCTGCTCCCTCTCATGGATACCGTCTTTGGCCTTCGCTAGTGTTAACAAACTCGTCTTGAAGGTCTTGGCATGCATTTGTCATATCGAATTTGTCAAGTTACTTGGATTCATTTTTGTCAGTTGCATTGATAGAAGCTTATAGGTAAATACATACATACATAGTGCATTCATACGTATCGAAATAATTTTATGTACATAAATACATTTATTTGCTTCATGTAAGTTCTGTAATCGCAGCCTGATTTATATAATTCCCCATGCCTTTCAACGACAATTTTCGATTTCCAAATTTCCCATTACAGCCGGCAAATATTTACGCAACTGAGTAGCAATTTCGATAGTTATTTGTTCACGTGGCGCGT